CCAACCCACAAAAGAAAAAGAACATCATTTATCCGGTTAATCGTTGAAACAATGGTTTTTTGTATGATGTCACTCTTCTAGCGACAATTTATACAGTATTTAAAATGAGAGGAATGAAAATTATCGCAGTTTAAACTGTCGAATTTGTTTCCGTCTTGTCAAACTCGTTTTATGATATATTCACGGATTAAGCAATAAAAATATTGTATCAAATGTTTTAGTAATTGTTTTAGTAAGTGTTTTAACGTATAAAAAGTTTTGCATCTAAAAAAATCTCTGATCCTTTTCAGAAATTTCTCCAACGATAGCCATCTTTTGTATTCCATAGAGATTGAGCCAATTGAATCGCTCGTTCTCCCGGACTTTATAGACGCATTTTTCCGAAATTTTCCATCAATTTTTGCAAAGTTTTTTTTTATTCAGATTTATCAATTGATTGGGGGTGGGATCAAAAAAAAAAAAAAAAAAAAAAAAGGTGCACCTTAAAGTCTCTGGAAAAGGCCTCAGTTTAGTCCACAGAGCCTCAAAAACCGCCCCGGACAAGGGAAATGTATGCTTAGATATCTTGATAAATGATATTTTTTTCGGGGGTCAAATTTGTTCTTAAAGGCAAAAACTACGCAACTTAACGCTTTTCCGCAGTTTTTGCATTTTAGCCCAAATTTGACGTGTCAGCGGAGGTCTGATTTTATCGAAATTGGGAATCTACGTATACAGATTCCCTTTCTAGGAAAACATTTTTTGAAGCTCTACGACCTTTCCTAAGGCCTTTTCCAGCCCCCCGGAAGGTGTGCGAATGTCCAGGTGCGCAAAAAAAGGTCGGATTTGTCCCACCCCCTTCAATGCTTTCAAATACAGTAACCTTTAGTACTTTTAGGGTACAGTAACCTTGAAACTATACACTAATCCATTAATTTGTTTGTTTATTTAATTCTTGAATTTGAAATCTATTTATTGCTTATTTATCCATTAATTCTCTTCGCTAAATCATTTTGTGCCCATTTATATTCGTACTAAAATTATTTTTGCCATTTAATTGACATTCCAAAGTGCGATTTATCAGAGGAAAAAGAAGGTTTGTTCAAAGATTTGAACATTTTTTTTGAACATTTTCTTGAACAAACATTTTTTTTCTATGCATGAAACGTGTATTTCTTCTATTTTGAGACGACAAAAAGACTCCGCCACTTTTCGCCTCACGTGGAGCCGTCTTTTTCTCTGTGTTTGATCGAAAATAATAATTGCTTTTTTTTTTTTTTTCTGTTTATTTGAGTATTTAGGTTGTCTATGGGAGTATTATGGGAGTGTTTTTGCTAGAAAGAAAGGGGAAACTGGCTATGAACTTGGCTAGGTAGATACCTGTTTACATAAACTACACCAGTCGATAATGCTGCACTACTGGATAGTGAAATCTAGGATCTGAAATTTAGGATCTGAAATCTACGTGTAACTTTTGGATATCTTTTGCTTTTATATAACAATTTGATGGTTTTACGGTATTTTTATCAGTACTGGGTACTGTCGCTAATATTTGTACTACTTATATGCATTATTTGAAGTCAAAACCAGCGCTAGGCTAACAATTTTCATAGTAAATGCTAATTGTAGAGCTTATAGGAGATCAAATTTATAACAATGTCGATTCTAAAGCATATCCTATAGCAATATCTATCCTAAAATGCGCTGGCCATTGGGGCCTTTGTCTAATTGTAACTATTGGAACTATTTTCTCACTACATATTGGAAATCGAGCTATAACCTCAAATTGTTAACTCAATTGTATAACTCAAACTATGTTCTCAAACTAAGCTAGACCTTCACGCAACACCTGCACCGTCATTATGGGGAGTGGGGTACTATTACAGTATTTATGGTCTATAATTGTATAACTCAAATTGAACGCGAAAAGCATACCCATGACTTATTTTGTCCTAAACACGTGAACGCAAATTAACTTTTCACTTTCTCACTCTTTCATTTTTCATTTCCAATTTTCATTTCAATTTTACTATTAGTGAGAATTCTATTTACGAGCGAGAGTCCCTTCCGGCCAAACAGAGACAGCAAAGATCGAGCGCACTTGTCGAAATTTTTGCGGTTAAAAGGGGAAAAGGGGAAAAGGGAAGAAGAGTTGGAAGTGGCCAGACTCTTGGTTTTTTTCTTTTCTCTCGTAGATAAGTCTTAAGAAAAGATAGAGTGATCTCTTTAAGAGTTGAAAGAATGAAAGAGAAGAGAACCGGGTGTGTAAGCGTCGAGCCCATTCCTCGTCCATTTATGGATAAAATCCCTGTCGCGAGGCCTACGTTTCGCTTTTGTGATTGGCTTAGGTTATCATTTAGATTTTAAATTACTATTTTAAATTCCTATTTTAATTACTATTTAAGAAAACCCAGAATTTGTAAATGTGTAACCGAATGAGGTGGGGCTGGATCCGAGAATTTCACCTAATTTCATCACCCTTTATTTCCTCGTTTACTTTGCCATTTTTTCAAAGCTTTCTCCTTCTCGATTTCACTTCGTAAGTGTTTGAAACCAGAGCGCAGTTTGTCCCCAGCCTTTTTGTTTGTGAGGGGTTCGTTGGAAGCAGAGTGAGCTCAATGTTCCCTGGAAATTCTTTTGACTTCTCCCTCCAATTCTTCTCGTCCCATTTTTTCTCCCTTTCTTTCTATCACAGCTCGATTTCCATTCTCCTCAAATGAAATGCCCATCTTTTCTCTCTTTTTTTCCTGTTGGGGTCGGTCTCCTCGAACCAAAAAACATCCGCATTTCATTGAGAGGGCATTTAAACGATGGACGAGATTGAAAAAAAAAATGCACACGACCCAAACAGACGCAGCTTTTGTTTTGAGTTTTTGATCTATTGTAGAGAGTTGCTAACAGTCCCAGTACTTGATCGACTCCGCTTTCTAAAAGGAACCCATTTTGAAAAACTAGTAGTCAGCAGAAGGTTTTGTAAATACCGTAATAGTACCCTATCCCTATGATGACGGTGCGGAGTGTTGCGTAGTCTAGCTTTTGAAACGAGTTTTTCTCGACACTGGTTTATGCTGGGCTATCGTGTGCTTAGGTATCAAAAAATAGCCCTGAATTTCAGCTATTTTTTGATACGCCAAAGACGCATTTTTTGAAAGTACGGGCGCGTTGTAAAAAATGAAATACTAAAAAAACTTTTTGCGACTACGCGACTATACGAGGGCGGTGGGGTACTATTACAGTATTTACGGTAGTCTAATCGATCTACGATCGGTTTGGTTCTGTGAGGATTCACGAAGGATATAAATAAGCCCGTTAAAATCTACAAAATTTCAATTGTTTTTGTCAAAAACTCGGTACTAATGCACCTAAATTTTTCTCTCAAATGTAGTTTTTCTAGGGTACTGATGGCGCTAATCAAAAAAAACATTTTTAAGTGATGTTTTCAATTGAAAAACTGATGTATTGCCGTTATATTGGGTAGTTTTGGCTTGTAGGGGGGGCCCTTAAAGGGGGAGAGCTGTTAAGTTGGGGTTTTATATTGTGAGGAGAGAATACTGGCAAGAATACAACTGATGCATTTGGTCCCAGAGGTGATAAAAGGCAAAGTCTTTCTGCATTCCTGACGCCAAAGAAACTCATCCATTTTTTCATAGCGCCAAAGGAAATCTCAGCGTATCTGTCATTGGAATTGACTCCAATACGTTTTTTAATTGAAAACATCACTTAAAAAGCCTTTTTTTGTGATCAGCGCCATCAGTTACCCTAGAAAAATTATGTTTGAGAAAATTTTAGTTGCCTCCAACTGCCTGAGCAGCAAAAATTCTGTCAAAAAGCGAGTTTCGAAAACACCTGTCACTAGAACCCCGGCAAAATTTTTATCAGTTATTCAGAAAAAGGAGAAACATCCCTGACCTGGGTTGGGAGAAATCATTTGTTATCTTTTGTGAAATTTCTTTCCCCTTTCTTTCTCTCCCTCCGATCCAAACAGACAACTTGTCTTTTTTCATTTTTTTTTCGCAAAGCATTATTACTTCCTCAACTCCTTTGCTGTTGTTATTGAGGGTTTTCCAATTTTTACAAGTTCTGAAAAATTGAAGCCGTTTTTCATTTTGATTTGAGTTTTGTATTTGTGAAAAGTTTGACTTTTATATTCCCAGCGGCACTATGGGTTACTACGGCACTGTATGATCAGATATGATAGTTTTAAATTTTCGTTATAAAAGAATGTTGCTAGACGCGAGTGTTTTTGTATGTTTTTTTTTAAAAAGTTGGCGCTTTGATGTTTTTTATGTTGTGAAATCATCAAAAACACAATTTTTAATAGTCAAATTTTCCTAGACAGCCTGTTTTTCCGCTAATTTCTTATGATTTTTGTTTAGGTTGTTATCCCGAATTTGCCCGCTGCCTTTTTACCCCCTTTGGTTGAGCAGGGGATCGTTGATTTCTTTGAGACCGAATCAACATTTCACCCTTCACACAACATCATCAATAATTCCTTGGAAAGCGTTTAGTTATTCTCTTCTTCCGCGAACATTATTCACGGAATCTTTTAATTTCTTCATTTCTTTACCATTTTTCTTTAATTCCTTTGACAAGTTAAACCTGGTTTTGCAATTTCAGGTATATCATTTGTTGGCAAGTAGGGAGAGATGAACGTCTATCAGCGTTTCTCTCCAAAGCAGGGCAAAAATTTCCTCTCGCCGGATGGATGCAATAAATTTGGGTGTTTTTGAAATGTCAGACAATCTTAAGGAGCTAGCAATATAACAACAATTTTGTGGCCGATATATGCAGAAAAGAAAAGAGAATTAATTTTGAGAGTATAATATAAGGCTCAAACAAAAGAAGGCAAAGTTTTCAAAAGATAAATGTGCACGAAACAGGAAAAACTTGGGTTATCTATATTTATTGCTAGTTAAGTACTTAACTAAGCACAATAAGTACTTTTAACAATAAAACAAAGAATTTTTATAATTTTATCTCTGAAAATTTTCACTTATTCTTTTAGCAATCTGGACGCTCAAATGGCCTGGCAGAATTGTCGCTACTTGCTGAACTGCACCCCACGTCGGCGGCATTATTCAGGTTAGGCGGTTGCTTTAGATTTCTCTTTGTTATAAACTCTTCCGCAAATGCAGTTCAAAAATCGTTTGGATTATGTTTTTTAGGCAGCGCCCCTGGGGCTCCTTCTATTCTCGACGGAATTCGCAATCTTGTGAATCGACCAAGAAGCGAGAGCCTCGACACACAAACTATGGGGAAGCCACTTCGTAAAGTTCACAGGGTATTTATTTTTAAAACATTGAGCAAATCCGTAAAATTTAACAAATTACTATAATTGTAAGATATTTTTGTTTTTAAACTTAAAAACTGGTCTTTTTCAGATATTTGGCCGTAAACTGGATTCAGTGTAAAGCGACTTAAGAGTGGAAGGATAGCAATGGTGACTCGGAAAATGGCGATTTGTATGATGATATCTTGCTTTTCGAAGACCTCTTAGCAACAGCTCGGTTTGTTTTTCTTCTCTTTGTTTTAAACTCGTAATTCTTATTTCTAAGTGATTTTCTCATACTTCGCAAAACTTCACGCCCAATTTCGGTCGATGTAGTTGGACTTGTTGGTTAGTGTTTGAATGAATCTTGTGATCTTAATATTTTTAGATGCTCAACACGATCCATACCGCCAATACATGAAAGTGGTTGATTGTTTTGAGCTTGCTCCCGTCAACAGTGATTTGATCATTTTGGACAAGAAACTGAAGGTCAAATTGACTTTTTAACTTTTCATAGAAAAATTAAGGTTGCTAAAGCTTTTGGTGTCTTAAAAAAGCACGTAAATCCAGGAGCTGGAATAGTTTGGGATGGAGAAAAAGAATGTTGTTTGTTTTGTTATTGTTTTGAAAATATATGTGTTTCAAATTTAGATCTCAACACCTGTCACTTTGACCGATTTTTCTCATTCACGTTCAAAAAGCTGAGGTGTCAGCAATGATGAACGAACCATTGGAAACAATTTTATCACCAAACGCTTTAGTGGCACTGAATTCGGATACAAAAGTTGATTTAAAATATTAGTGGATTATCTACTTATTTCCTAGATTTTCAATGCTTGTGAGGAATTTGCACTGAATCGAATTCATCGTCTAGTGATACTGGATCCAAGCTATGGAGATGTCTCACTACTTGTAAGGACAATTGGGCGAGCAATTTCCTGCTGATCCTAAAACAGGTAAAGCTGAAAAATACAAACATTAAATCTTGTAAAGGGCTTATGATGTTAATAAAGACATGAATCAGGATCGATAGTAATCTGGTAATGCTTTAGAATCGATCACTACATTTTGCTCAATGGCTGAATTATCAAATCAAGGACACTGGAATCGGCCTTGGGAGTGGAGCAAAGTTTTTAAGGTTAGTATTTTACGGCAGAAAAGCATATGAGTATTAAGTATTTTTGAGCCCTGTAGACGATCCGTCCTCAAAAGCGGTTCAGCTTATGCTAGGATATCGGATTTCTTCCTTACCAATAGTGAACAAAAGAAGGTAATTTTTTTTTCGCACGGTTCATCTCTGTTCATCCCTCCAGGTATGGCTATCGATGTTCTGCACAAGTTCCGATATTGGGGGGGCGATTTGCCAAGTAGATGATCCAAAGGTAGTTGTTAAAGGATATTTTTAAGTTATCAAAATTGTTTAGATCCTTTCTTACCACGTGCAGGGTTGGTGGATGCAATTCCCACACGAGAACCGGCCATTCTTTGCTTTCTTTTTGAGTATACTCCTGTTGCTCAAGTTTGTTTTAAATTTTCGATTTCATTCTTATTTTTTTAGTGTTTGGACGCTTTGTCCTCTCAAAAGGGGAAAATTGCTGCCTTTTCATTGTTAATCAAAGACAGGTTTGCTGAAATTTTTTACGCAGAACTTCATTATTTTGTCTTTAGGAACCAACGGCTTGTGTTTCGCTTTCCGGTTTGTTTCATTCCAGTTTTCAGTCAACTAATCCATTTTGTAGCTCAGATATAATAATCTGATGCAGCTATATTCTCTGATACAAGAACGAGGCTTCAAGTACTAGCTTAGTTTTGCGTGAAGCTTAGATTAAAATATTGGTTTTTCCAGCTCACAAACTGTTGATGATCCAGATGCAAAAAATCAATGTTTTTCTGCTTCAGTGAATCAAATGAAAACCATTTCTAACCATTCACCAAAAGGAGTCTGTAGAATAGGGCCGGATCTTCTTTAAAAATATAGATTCTTAATTTTTTCCTGTTTCCTGTGTACATTTATCTTCTTTGAAAACTTCTTGTCTTCTTTTTGTTTGAGCCTTATATTGCCCCACAAAATTCAATTCTCTTTTTCTTTTCTGCATATATCAGGCCACAAAATTGTTGTTATATGTTTTTGTCGTTCTCAATGGAAATCTGTGATTCTCAAACTCGATTACGGTCATTACAACTAGGTTTCCTCAAATTATTTGTTGTTTTCAGAAACAAAATGATGAATCAGGGATCTGGACGTAAAAATACTTCTTTTTACATCCTTTCCGCACTCAAGCTGAATGCAAATAAATAAGCATTTTAGGAATCTTGTTAATAAATTCCTGTTTTCAATTTATTTCTTTATAAATCACAACTTAGAAAATTCGGGGAATTTGGTACTCTCATTAGAGTGGCCATTGTACTCTTTTTAAACGTCTTCGCTGAAGAGTTGAGACTTATCTCCAGGTTGCCTTTGAAAGCAAGCTAATCCTTATTTTAAAACCACCTGGTAGATTTTTAGCGGTAAAGCGCAATGAAGAATGACTTTTTATTGAAAAATGTGTGCTCTCAGAACTCAACATTTAAAAGCCATTGGCAAGCAGGGTAACGGTATGTTAGATTTGGGGGGGCGACTTTTCTTTAAAAGTTTCCCCAGATTTCCTGAGTTCCAACATGTTCATTTTTTTGATGAACCTGACAACAAAATTCAAGCAGGTCCTGAATTGAATGATCTCGACTGTGAAGCTGAGGCTTATTTTCGTTCCTTGAACGGCGATCGGACTCTTCAATGCGATCGATTCGGCCATTTTTAACGCTCGCGAGTTCACGCTTTTCTTTTTGCATTGAATCACTTTCATTTACCTCGTTAAGAGCTTCTTCTTTTGTAGAGCGAACACGGCTGATTAGATCTAAAAACTTTGATAACCGTCAAATATTTTTTGTCTTTTACGATTATGGTAAGCCTCTTTCGGCCCCAAAGTTTCGCCCAGTCAACGCGACCTCACTAATCCAACTCTAAGAAAATTTCAATAATTACTTCTTGGTTTTCATTGTTTACATCATTGCCGCAAAACTTTGTTGATTCTGCTGAGAGCGCCCCCATTGACGTGCAACAATTGCAACATCGACTTCTTTAATACCGAATTGGCGGATATTGAAGGTTGATGGTTAACTACTGCCATCATTCACTTTGCAGTCACTTTCTAGAGTTTTCGCAAAAGTTGCTTTCTGTAATGGGACTGATGGTATGATTCTATAACACGCCTGGCTACCGTACCCTTTGCTAGTTTACTTAATTTTGTTTTTTTTTCATTTTTGACGAGAGCTTCGGCACTTTCCAGAACCTTTTCTATCTAATTTTAGTGCTCTGTTAACTTTTTTCTTTCTTTCGTTTACCTGTCCCTCAATTAAGGTTTTACTAATGGATTTCAAAGGAAACTCATATGCAATTAACACGTAAACGGCTACGGACTGTGAAATGATACGTGAATAGGACTGTGCGCCCGTGAATAAAAAGAGCTTCCTCTGCGGCGGTGGAACGGTGTTTGTGGGTTTACCCCTAAACCCGTGCCCAGGAATCCACACAAACGTGGGGAAAACAAAGCTCAACTTTAGGTTATCAAGGTCATTTAAACCGTTGACAACATCGCTTTTCTGAATACTCGCAAATGCTTCTTTTCAAAGCTCCAGGCAATTTTTTAATGTAACGCGATTGCGGTAATATAGTCGGGGGGATTCGCCTGAATTGCGTCTCCTTGGTGGCGATTCGGATATCGCAAGCGGTGATCAAATCAACCCCACCACCGAGACAATACCCATGCATGACAAATCGATCACTCTGGTTTAGGACACTAAAATTTAGAAGTTTTTGACGGATTGAAGGCTTTACTCCACTGCGGTTATTCATTTTGTCTCAAGACTTGGGAACATTTTTTGTGTATTTTGTGCAAACCTCAGTTGATGCTTTAGAAACATTGTTGCATTTATGAAATCTTTCGCCCAAACAAGAAGGCTTTTCTCGCGAAATCATCTGCTCCGGCGTCATTTAAACCTATTGACAACATCGTTTTCTGAATACTGGCAATCTTTTCCTTTTAAAACTCCAGTAATCTCTTTAATGTTTTGAAGTTTTCGGAATTTTTGGATCAAAATGAATGTGCACTTCTCAAGTCGAGTCCCACCGAAAACGCTTTCCCGCGCACCGCTTCTTGAGCACGATCGTTCGACAATCCGGATCTTTTGCTCAATTGCTCGAAACATTTCCCGATCTCACCTGAATATTTTAAAAGTTGCTTTTTCAGTTTTTAAAGTTTAAACATACTCCCAGAAGACCATGTTCATCGCGTTGAGTTTCGTGGGTCGGTTTAATTGCACGTGAAAGACGAATTCGCAATTCGGCAATTTTTCTACTTTCGGGCTAACGCAAAGTTGTACATCTTTTCGGATATGGATTGATGAAAATCTCGAGCAAAACTTCTGTGTGAAATGATCGAAGTTTTGGGTTTCTTTTTTGTGGAAATCCCGTTCACTTGATAAGGCTACGAGATGTCAAACTATAAAAGACAAATTTTTGTGTTTTTCTTTGAGAGAAATTCGAATGAGAATGGGTTTTAGAAAATGTTATAATTTATTATTTTTTCGGTAAAATAAAGTAAAAAATGATGGCATTGATAGGGCAATTTCCTGGCATTTGTAGCAACATATAGATAATACAAATAACTAAAGATCAGGGCTTTTTTCTAAGTTCTTTATGCAGGGCTTAGAAAAACCCTCAAGATCTTTCTAAACCTCTTATGAACGGCTTTAGAAAAAACCCTGATCTTTCTAAGCCTTTCAGAGCTAGGGCCAAGAACCTTACGAAGGTGGATTTTCACGAAAATTTTTCGACTTTCAACGCCAGACTTTGTGGAAGATGAATTGTGGAATGTATGTTTTTATGTGTTGTGCAAGAAGTAATGTGAAATTCATGTTTCATTCACTTTATAGGTTGCCACGTTTTTTTGTTATTTTGTTTGTTATCAATTAAAAGATGTCACTACTTATCGTAAAGTTAAAATCGAGCGAATTCGAGCGGCTGTGGAACATCAAGTGGAAAACAAGAGGATGGGATCGAACTCGAGCAAAAACTTGACGCCTTGCTTCGGAAACAAGACTCTTATCTACTAGAGTGGGAGCAAAACGGAATGTCGAAAGCATAAAAATTCTGCATTTTATGGTATATGGCTAATGCTATTTGACCACCGGGGCCCAGAAAGGGAAGGGTCTCGGTGGTCGACCCCGTCCGATCTGCCAAGTTGAGCAATTCCGTCGGCGCGGGTTAGTCGTGGGTTCGACTCCTTACGCTGGGTTCCCCTCCGAGCGCCCCAGCTCCGGCCATCGGAGTATCATCGGCTACGACAACTACACTTCTGCCTCAGTAAATGTGGAAAGCGGGTTGTGATCTGCGCTAAGTGCGAAGACAGATCAAATCATTATTTTTATTTTTATTTGACCACCTCATCCTTGTGGATCTTTTTTGTTAGCCAACTCTTGGCCTTTTTTTGGCTGGTTTATGGTTTTTCTAGGGTCCTGTTGAAACAAATAATATTTTGAGGATTTCTTGTTGACTGCTTAGAAAAACCCTACTTTATTACAGAGTTCTGGTTTTGATTTTAAATCGTGTTGACAAGATCTCCGACGCATTGACATTTCTAGTTGGAGCAAAACGGAAATGTCGAAAACGGCGACTGATCTTTGTTGTCGATTTGCGCAAATTTTCTAGCTTAGGCAGACTATAAAACTACAAGAATTATCATTGCCTTTCGGTCTTTTTGCTGAAAAAAAGAATGATTGCTGAGGTCGCATGAATGCAAGCTTTTTGCTTTTTCTTGAAAGCTCTAGAATTTTGATTAAAGACTATAAAAGTTGTTATTTTTTCAAAAAACTTACTGCTTTTTTCTTTGCTTATTTTGTCGCAAACAAAGTTAGGAGGATCTGCATTGAACAATCTTAAAAGTGACAACGATTTTTACTTTTTTTCAATTTACTCTCTTTTCCTATTCTTTGTGGCGAATTGCCAGTGCTCGGTAATTAATCAAAAATTCAATACACAAGTTAAAATTCAAAGTTGATGGATAAACTACCGTAATCTAGTCACTAGACGATATTCAGCTGTCCGTTTGTTGTAGCTTGTATACTTTAAAAAACCCGTTATTTAAGCTTCTGCTTTGGAGTGAGTTTTTGTTCTCCTTTTTGCTTTTTATCATCCCTTTTTTTCACATGCAAGTGTTGAATTAATTGTGATAGTGCCAGGTTGCTCCAGCCTTAGAGCGAAGTTTGCCCCAATAAGGGAAAGTTGGATAAATTGTGCGTTTTCAAGAAGAATCACTATTGAGCCAATACCGAGACATCGGTCTCACAAGAAAATTATATAGATCAAAACATAAACATATATATTTCTTGGAATTTTATTTTGCATTGAGTTTCATTTTCTTACATTGGTTCTAATGAAACTTTATCCCTGAATGGCTATTTGAAAATGATCTTGTATTACTGATTTCTATATTAATATTAATATTAACACTCCAATAATTTGTCCCATCCAATAGCGCCTGTCCCATAATACCTTGTCCTATCCAATACTTTG